ATTCCAACTGGTTGCAGAGATATAGAAATTAGAAAATTTGAGGTTGTGGTAAAAACTCAATTCCTTTTATTGCTCCCAAGCAAGGATATGTTTGTAGCCTAACAATCTAACTCAAGCCAAGTGAACAAAGGTTATCGAACTGTATGTTTGCACTCTGATGATCCAACAGGTTAGACCCTAAAGGATATTAAACCCTTCCTTATCTTGTTTATCTCAAGTAGGAACAGTTAGCCAGGGCAGAGCTAGGGAGGAATCAATGCCGGAGAAAAGAGTGTAACAGCACTCTATTTAGAATACAGTCCTTTTAAATATATATCAATGTATCTTTATGTATTTTTGAATAAAATGTATCAAACGAAAGAAAAGTGTGCTTTAAAGAGTCTTCCTTTTAGATAATAGATTTTAATCTACCTCTATTTTCATTCACATAATTCTTCAATCAATTAATACAAATATCTTACAAAAATTTAAATTTAATTCATAACATTTAAAACATCTCAATTGAACCACTTCTTTTCAACTTTTCAACCTATTTCTCATTAAATTCATCAAATTTGAACCCTGATCTAAAACGTTTAAAATATTTTTTCCTTGAAAAGCATTATAGGATCGCTAGGCTAAATCATATAGACTGGTTCACAAATTAAAAATAATTATGGTCGATAACTTCTGTACTAGAGTCCACATTTTAGAGAGAAATCACTGGAAACTAGAAGAAAATCAAAGAAATAGAAAAGGTTCAAATGATGAAGCTGCTTATCACGAAATTTACTTTACCTTCCCCTGAATAGATGCATCAGTGTTCGTTTAGTATCCGAGGAGGTTAAAAGCATTGAATTTTGATAATTTTCATAATTCACATAATAGTTTCCTATTTACCAGAATATTTTATTAATTTTTATGTGAAAGATGGATCCCATGTCAGGCTGTGACATCCGTCTTGTGTTTACATCACCGCCCAGAGACAATACACTGCAGTACACCTCTGAAATAACTTTCCTTGCATTATAACCTTGACACATACAGACTATAAAAAGCAAAAGGGTACGGAACACCAAATTAATCTAGGGAGATTATATGATTGATCACTCTTGTATGCAGAGTCCATTATCGCCTGATCCAATCAGGTTTCAGTCATGCGTTTGGTGTCTATTCTGAACCAATAGAAATTGCATAGCGGTAACATCTATCTCATTATCCAATTAGAGATAAATCCTTTTTTTGCGCTGTACACTACATGGAAATATTTACTTCTACTGAAACTATAGTGGATATGTCTTGAGGTGTCAAAGGCCTGCATGCATGGAATCATGAATTTCAGAAGGAAGATTGAAAATGTACTGTCGATTTTGTCTCTTATGTTTCATCCTTTATGGGCATATATCAAAAGACAAATTATGCTTGGATAGCACATTGTTTATGCCACTGTGAACTAGACATCATAATAGCATTAAACTTATGCAAAATTGCTGCTACGATTTGTTGACCTCGTATTTCCTTTGGTTTGATTTTATGCATAAGTGTGAGAAAACAGATGCGTTTACATATTTGACATGCAAAACAGTTCTTCTAATTGGCTCTTTAATAAAATAAGATTAAATTCGTATGATATTTCAAACTTAGGTACAATTTACTCTAGTTTAACGTGCTGCAACACAATCAGGCGGGCTGGTCCTTTGTGAACAAAGCCAAGATGTTTTCAAGAATTTACTATAAAACTTTTTCACTAAGAGAATGTGTCCTATAACTCGAAATCTAATGTATTTTATTTGAGTGCACTATTTGGACAAATGGAAAATGCATATTAAATGAGAGAAAAATGCATTTTTATGCCTGGCCGATGTTTATCTTCTATCTATCTATCTATAATATATAAATATATATGCTACTATCTTCTATTTATATATCTTTATCTGGCTATATTTCTGTATTCAACATTTTTATTATATACAAAGAAAATCAATCATTATTATTGTAGCAATTCTTGTTATATCTGTAGAAATCAGAATAACACTAATGATCTTTGGTTAATAAAGTTGTTTCTTTATTATAATACAAAGCCTTAATACAAGGCATGGTTTTCTTTGTTAAGTATGTAATCTCTGTTTTTTCTTGGTTGGATGACTTGTTTGCATCCAAATACCGTAAAAACGGCTAAACCGAATGTCCTTATATTTAGTGTGGCACCTCAGGATCAGGGTAGGTCTAAGCTCATCAGTTAAAATTAAAATGTTCAGCTCAAATGTTGAGTTGTTTATATTTCCTGGCAGGGTAAAATAATTGACTTTATCTCTAGATTTTGACATTTGATTTATAAAGTTCTTTTATGTAACATATGCAAAAACAGCAGTCTTCATTTATAGAACGGCAGCCTACAAGGAGCCTATAAATATTTAAAAAAATGTTTTTAATGTGTTTAAATTCAACTATCTAAAAGAACTGGCAAACTCAGTTTCCTGCTACTGTGTCTGAAAATGCTTTATTTCGTTGTTTTTCTTTGTTTTTTTTTGCTTTTGTTTGTTTTTGTTTGTTTTTGTTTGTTTTTTTGTTTTTGTTAGTTTTTGCTTGTTTTTGTTTGTTTTTGTTTGTTTTTGTTTGTTTTTGTTTGTTTTTGTTTGTTTGTCAGAAAACCCTCTCAAAAAAGTTTGTTGATATCATTGCACGCGGCACTAGGAGATCATTTGCGAACTTGCGAGATCTAAGGAGTCCTAATAATGTGTATTAAGAAAAATTCATTTTAATTTTGTTAAATCAAAATATTTGCTTTACTTACATTATGCCAAAGGAATTGAGTCTATGCCACAAACTTAAAGTTTCTCATCCCTATATCTTTGCAACCTGATTGTGTAAACTTTTTATACTTTAAACTTAGATTATTTTACATAACTGAAATCATAGTTTAAAATATCTAAGGTTTACGATAAAATTTGTGTCAAAAATAGTTGAGTTACAGATAACAAGGAACGTAAAAAGAACAAATTAACAAATTCAAACAGTCGTCTTAGAATTCTCAACCTTTGTGAAAATGCAAATAGCCTATAAATGATATTTCTGCAAAATCATTCTGATATTTGCTGATATTTACTCCCTTATATATTTACATATTTTATATTTGCAGTTTGTATATATCCCCCCCTCCCTCCCCAAGGCATTTCAATGAATATCTTCACTATTTTAAATATTTAAGAAAATGGAAAATTTTACGTTGGAGAAAATTCCAATTTCTTTCCTAGTTTTTAAATTCTGCTTCCAATATATATTCGATATAAAACTCACTAAAAAATAGACAATTCTCCAATGGAGGCTATAAGTAATTTTATTTTGAAAAAAATGAAAGCTTCAAATTAAAAGAAGCATTCGCAGTTAAAAAATAAATATTGATAATTTAATCGTTTCAGTTTTATTAATTAGAATTGTAATTTTTAATATGCAATTGTGGTGGCTATGAAAGTCGTCTTTCCTTAGAGAACTTCTTGCGGCAAGAAGAAAGAAAAGGGGAGTTTTCCAGAAGCCACGTAGAGAAAGGATGTGATTTTAAAACATGATATATTTTCTAACTTTGTAAGTTTAAATTAAAAATATAGTGAGTCGTTATCAAATCCTCGTCTTATTGCTATCCGCCAAATTGGTGACCCCGGACTATTGAATACATTCCTTGTTTTAAGTCCAAGTTAAACAACCCACCGCGTTGTATTTTTCCACCTATAAACTCAAATAACCTAAAACTCAGTGTTTTGAGTTAGTGTTCTGTTTTTTGCTCGCTAGTGTTAATTCGGCTGAAAAGTGAACCAGCCTCCCTGTTTTCTCCACAGGCTATCACAGTAAGCGAAAACCTGGCTCGACAGCGTTATTTTTTTCAGCGTCACGATGCCTGGAGATCCAGCTTTGACCTCTCCGTCCAGCCATCTCTATGCAGTTGCTCTGAAACTGCCTGTTTTCTGGCCTGACAGCTGCGAATCCTGGTTCATCAACGCTGAGTCCCAGTTCCACCTCAAACACATCACCAGCAGCACCACCAAGTTCCATCATGTGGTTGCGTCTCTACCACAGAACAAGATAGATAACGTTGTGGATATAATAAGGAGCCCACCTACTGCTGATCCTTATGGTGTTTTGCGGTCTCGTCTTTTACAGACACATTCTCTGACGGACTATGCACGTTGTGAATCAATCATGTCACTTCCTCTATCTGGAGATATGCTTCCTTCAGCTCTCTTATCCAGGATGAGGGTTCTCCTTCCTATAGAACATCAGGAGTGTTTGTTCCTGCGGTACGCGTTTTTGAGGCAACTTCCAGCTGATGTCAGGTCTCATTTAGTCCACGATAAAACCGCCGATATTGCTGTTCTCTCTCAATGTGCCGACGAGATATACCGGAGTAGTTTGTCTTCTAATTCATCGGTAAACGCCTTGGATTCAGTGCATGCTGTCAGTACTCCTCCTTCTAGGCAGAACCGCCGTAATCAGCGCTCTCGGAGAACTTCTAGTCCAGTTTCCCGCCTAAGCGATTATTTGTCAGTGATTTTTAATCTTTGGAAAAACAATGTTTAAAGTCGCAGATTAAAAATCGTTTATTTCGTGAAATAACGGATTAATTGTCCGTGCGTACAGTTTTTCAGAGAAACTTCAGATTAATAATCCGTTTTTTCGCCAAGTTACAGATTTTTAATCCGTAAGTTAGTGATTAAAAATCCTTTAATTTTCAGACTTTTAATACGTTATTAAGCGACCGTCCCTTCTGAGTCGCTTTCTTTTAAAAGAAAGTGATTTTTAATCGTTTACTTCACCAAGATAAGGATACAGTGTAGCCTGATGATATTTCAAATTTAGATTATTTGATCGTAATAGAATTCATAATTTGAAATATCAAATATATATGACAATGTGTTTGCAATCATAAAAGGATTGGAACATCAGAGTTTGTGGCTAAAGCTCAATTCCTTTAGATACAAATTTGCCTTTAACATTAAGTCTTTTGACTTTGAAAAGATTCAGGAATGTACATATATTGCAAACAAGTGTTTTGATCATAAAGATTAGATGCAGTTTGCTTCCATCTTTTGGTTGATTTCACCCAAGAAAACACCAGAGCACCTTTTTGAACTATAAAATCCCTCTGCCATAATGGCAATTCGTTGACCAAGATGTGGTCTGCATCTCCTGCACCTAGCATCATGGTACAGGATGAGACTTCAGAGCCCAAAACTTCAGACAGGGTTTTGTTATGTTGGAAATAGGGTTTCACGGATGGGTGAGGCAGTTTTGTAAGTATCTCAACATTTTTTATATGGTTATAGTTTTATATATTTTTTATATTCTTTTTCTTAATGTAAATCTTTAATTCAAATGTATAAACCCCAAAAAGGAATCTCAGAAGTTTTGTTCAAAGATACTCTTAACTTTTGGGCGCAGAAAGAACAGTTCTAAATTTATACTGTCTGTTTCCTTGCATTCATGATTCCTGCAACTATACACCAACTGAAAAGATATATTTTGAAATGTTTGAATTTTAAAATTACCTGATTCTTGGAAAACAATTGTTCCGAAAGAGGGATTGGCTTTTTACCAGCTAAACAAGACAAAATTTATTTTCTCAAAGAACCAACATATTTTATTTTGTATATATGAAAAGAGTAAACAAATTTTGGAAATATAAACTTGAATAAAGTTATGTAGAAATTACCTGGTCTTTCTTTTAGGCATCTAAAAGTGCGGTTATTCATTCTTATGCAAAGTCCTCCCTATTTTTAAAAAAAGTTTGGGTTTTTCTTAACAAACCTAAGCCTTTGGAAACATTTAATTACTGGAATGGATTTTTATGTAAACTTCTAAATGTGATATAAATTTTTTAAAATAGTTTTTGGAAGATCAAAACTTCAAAAACAATTGAAAATATGAAACTTTAAGCATGATTCTAAACTGACTACTGAGTTTTGAATTATATAAATGTAAAAGGTAGGAATTATATAAATGTAAAAGGTAGGAATTATATAAATGTAAAAGTGTTGCCCATTTTTTAATTAAGTTAAATCAAAAGGAATTTCCTTACTATAAATCTGCTTGCAATTTCTTTAAGCAACTTATTTTTCACAAATTGAGTAGTAATAATATTTCTTAAAGGTTTTTTTCTATATGCTGAGAGATCATTGTTAGGAAAAACAGTCCTGACAGCCCTAAACTTTGAATCCTAGACTAGCAAATGGTTGAATTTTTAAAATGCTAACCATAGCCACAGAATATTTTATCATATCATACATAACATTCTTAAGTCTGAGCTGAGGCTGAATTTAAAGAATTTAAACAGCAATGAAGCATTAAAAACCAGATCCAATAGAGCGCCAGGCTCAATTATTCTTTAAATTCAGCCTCTGAAAATTTTAGAATTGGATACCTTTAATCCCGATAGCTCAATCTAAATATATACTTTGGACACTTAAGATTTTAGCTTAATCCACTCTTTTTCTCTTTGTTTGAAAAACACTTCTTTGAAGAATTCTCTCAATGATTACGGGCCAAAATTTTGAAATATCTTGGCTTCTGATTAGCTGCTTGGGTTTCTCAAAATGTCCCTCTGATTAATTGAATTTTATAAACTTTTCTGGAAACTAACTAAAGATTTAGTTTATGTTGAGATTAATAAAAGTATTAAATCAAGTAATAATCTTGATATCCACAATTCTAAAGTTTTAGCTCTGGTTAGATTATCCTTACCCTTCTACATCTCCTTCCTAAGGTGTTCTTCTCTCCGCAGAACAAATTATTACCAATTTGTAATGATTTCCTTCCTGCAAACATAGGCAATATGTCTTATGCAATCAACATTAAAATTGAATCTACTATTTATTAGTTATAGCAAAAAAACTATTTATTATTGACTTATTTTTTAGTTTTGAATGTGTTTACTTCTTGATCCTTTACTATCAGTAGCATCACTTTTCCTAAACATTATCTATTTTTCTAACTTTGTTTGAAATTAAAATAATCACAATTTGATTAAAAATTACCGTTTTTGAGCATGGGTTATTAGGAAGCAGATGATCACTATTATCAACACCTAACACAGTATTACATGTGATGGAATTAAACAAATTTTCTGATTTTTTTGTTATTAAATTAAGTTCCTTTCTCACTGTACAGTCCAATTTTTATTGGATCAATTTTATACATCAAATCCAGAAGTAAAATTAATTGTTAAAGGTTGTAAACTTAAGGTCAAAAGTTGCTCAAGGTTTCTCATAGAAACCAAAGCTCCACATAATTCAATCCAAACCCCTAACATTACTGCGCATTGCTATAAATTACATCTTTATTAAAATGTTTATGTAGTACAAGAAATAAAACCTCTTAAGTTTGAAATCCCAAATAATTTAAAATCAGACTTTTTTCAACATTTTTTTGGTCTCATCCTTTAAGTAATTGTAAACCTTGTCAACAGTTTTTTCATCATTACTTAATCAGAATTTTTGACAATTTAATCCAAAGCTTACTGTAGATATAATTCTCATCTTACAATATAAGAAACTGACAGTATTTAAGCCAATTAATGAAATATCAAAATTAAAAACTATAGTAAATTATTATAAACTAGCTAAAGTGCCCGGCATTACCCATGGAATTTTAGAAACCCTTGAAAAAAATCTAATTAAAAAAATTGAACTTTCATAGAAAATTTAAATTTTGAGAAATAATTTTGAAGTTTGTTTAGCCTATGTTATCCCCGTGGTATCAAAGGGCTCCCTCAAAACACTTAAAAAATCTCAAACAATTCAGCCAATTTGGTTCAGCCGTTTGGCCAGCTATAGCTAACATATACAAATATATGTATATAAATGTGAGCAAAGAGCTTTATTATATAGATGTAATTCTGAATTTCTGTTTCTTTGAAATATCATATTAATTTCTTTAGAAACAGTTAAAATTCTTTCTGGTTAATATCCAAAAAACCTTTTTTTGCCAACAAGGCATTTAGACCTATCAATAGTCCCCTTCAGCCTTCCCCTGTATTCATTCTTTCGTTTTTCAGGTGTCATTTGCAAAAACAACTTTTTAGATCACTCAGCATTAGTGCTTGGACCTGATTTCCATCTTCATGCTTTCAAGAAATCTAATCACTTTTTTCTGGTTCACCCAGATAAATGTATGTAATATATATGCTTATCAAACTATTATGAATCCAGTTATTGATAACATTAATGAAGGATTTGAGTTAAGTAATATACATGACAAAGGAATTTAACATTAGCCCCAAACGCTATTTTTCTAATCCTTATAGTTTTGCAAACTGCAAAGACCTTCATATCTTCATACCATGAATTTAAAAAAAGGTTTTACCATCCGATTGAAGATATAGGAATTGGAAAAAATTTGAATTTAAGTTTTCTTTGTCTTTCTTAATTACTATTATCTCTTAAAACTTTGTAGAGTGCCCGCTCAGATTCACAACAGTATCTTTTTTAACCCTATCCCTGCTGGGGTACTTGAAAACCAGGATACGCTGGGGGGTCCTGAGGACTCAGGCAGTTAGTATTAAAGCCCGGTTTTAGGCCTAAAGGGAGGGCTTTGGGTATGTAAGAAAAGTCAGAAAATTTCAACAGCCTCAGACCAACACTTTTTGAGTTATGTAAAAAAAACTACAGCGGGGGGTCAAATTGACCCCCCCCCCCAGCGGGAATAGGGTTAACCTTGACTAATTAAAAATAACGGACTTATCATTATTCATCTACAGAGAGATGCTTGCATTTGTTGAATACTTTTTTTGTAAGCTGTTTCTTATATGAGAAACATTAATATTTACTTTCTAGAAGTCGAAGAAAATTAATATTTACATTCCAATTGTTGAAAACCATATTCGAATATTCTTTTACTTTATTAATAGAATAGTACATGAGTGAGAAGCAGTAATACGTTAACTTCATCATGTATGGGGTATTAAGGTTAGTATTTATACTAAACTAGGTTCAGTTTTGGTGTACTAATTAAGTTTCTAGTGACAATGTTGTTTTTTTAGTTTTTTTGAGTGTGCAAGTTTTTTTTTAGAGATTTATCGTAGAGTATGTATTATTTGTAAAACCCTTAAAGGAACAAACCAAATATGTACAGTAGTTAAACTGAGTATGCAGTGTTGTGGACAAATTCTTTAGGATTCATTTGAGACATATAAAATGTTTCCACAATGTTTAATTACTGAGTTTTAGTGCATAGTCCAAGTTTAAAATCATAAATTTAGGTGGGTATGCTTCAGAATCGGGTTTTTAAAATTATTTAATAACGACCACGAAAAATAAAGTAAAAGTATTTCTCAAATGAATCAATTATTTAGTTTTCATCAATAAATTAAATTTCTTATTTTCTATCAATTTAATTGCAGATTTCTACAAATTCTTAAAATGTTGTCTTTTCAATAAAAAATTCCAGAAAATCTGCAGAAAATTTATTTGGTTTGGATTTTATTTTTATTTGTTTTGTAGTGGCCTAAGCCTATATAATGTTTAAGATTGATATTTGTTTGCTTTATTTTTCATCGCCGAAGTGTATTTATTGGTTTTGATTGAACTTTATTTGCTTTGTTTTATTGGCCTAAGTATTTATATTAATTTGAATTGATCTTTGTTTGTTTCATTTTTAGTGGTCTAAGTCTATATGATGGTTTGGATTGCTCTGTGTTTGTTTTGTGTGTAGTGGTCTAAGTACTGATTTTTATTTGTTTTGTGTGTAGTGAGTGGCCTAATGTTTAAATTGGTTTGGATTGATCTTTGTTTTTTTGTGTGTAATAGTTAAAGTGTATAAGTTGATTTTTATTTTTTTTTCTGTGTAGTGGCCATAATTGTTTATAAATTAGTTTGGATTCATCTTTGTTTGTTTTGTGTGTAGTGGCCTAAATGTATAAAGTGGTTTGGATTTATCTTTCTTTGTTTTGTGTGTAGTCGTCTAAGTGTATAAGTTGAGTTTTATTTGTTTGGTGTGTAGTGGTATAAATGTATAAATTGGCATGGATTTATCTTTGTTTGTTTTGTTTGTAGTGGTCTAAGTAATTATTTTTATTTGTTTTGTGTGCAGTGGTCTAAGTGTACTGTTGGAGCTAGATGAAGTCAAGACTGATAATTACATGCTAAGGAAACATGTCTATAATCAAATCTAAATTTTAACATTTTTTATTCCTATTTTGATCAGTTATTAATATCAAAGGAACTGGTTATTTATCTCAAACTCTATTTTTTTTTATTCTCATAACTGATGTTGTATTCAGTAGACTATTGATATTTTAAACTATGAATTCCGCAAAATCAAATAGTCAAGGTTTTCAAGATCAAAGGTTGAACAGATATAGGGATAAGAAAATTCGAGTGTGAGGAATGAAATGTTTTTTGTTAAATAAAAAATAACATGATTAAATAAATATTTTTTATCAACAAAAATGTAATGTGGAAGGATATTAGTACGAAAAATATATTTTAATTAAAGAAATAAAATGACATGAAATTTACTCTACAGGCTTCATTATGTTGCATGTGTATCAATTCTAGGTAAGGTTAGATATGCTCAATTATCTATAATTTTAAAGGGACTCAAAACCCTATTTTGTTGCAAATTGATTAAATACTAAAGTGGACCAAACTCATAGTTGGATGACGACATTTTATGTCCCAAGTATTTAAAAACACACACACATATATATATATATGTTTTTATATTATTTTTATATAATTTCAGACAGCACAATAATGCCTGAATGAATAATCTGTAAAACAAGGAATGCACAATTTGTGATACCGAAAAATGAAGATTTTCAAAATGTACATATCTCTTTGTCTTCACTTTTGTATTTTGACAGATGTAGTCTATTTTTTCTAGTCTTTACTTTCCAAAAGAAATTTTTTCATGCAATTATTTCCAAACCAAATAAAACCTTATGGCCCAACCTGTCGTTGTTGCCTTAGTCTGTTCCACTTTAGTATTTAATCACTTTGATTTAGATGGCCGCCAGGTGTCTCTACTCTTGATGCTCAGAATGAGACAACGTGGCAGAGACACTTAGCAAAAAAGTCGTCGTTTTAAGTGCACTGTATATGTAACAAATAAAAAATATCATGAAGTATCAACTATATACAATTATAGGGTTGTTAATCGTTTTTGAAAACGATCGTTAAACGATCGTTTTTTGTTTCATTTTCAAAACCGATCGTTTCGTTTTCGGAAAAAAACGATCGTTTTTAAAAACGACCCACTCGTTTTGAACTTTTAGAAAACAAATAGCGATCGTTTTTGTAAACGATCGTTTTTATTAAAACGATTTGCGACCGTTTTTTATACGATTGTTTTTAAAAAAACGATCGTTTTTGAAAAAAATTTTTATTGACAATTATGTTAACGATCGTTAACGAAGGGTCGTCGTTAACGATCGTTAACGAAGGGTTGTCGTTAACGATCGTTAACGAAACGACGAACTTTATCAAAACGGTCGTTTTTGGAAAAAAATTACATGCAACTTTATTGAATGTCGTCTTACATGAAGTTTAACAGTTGTGGGGGAGTTAAACTCCTTGATGTTTTCTTAAAAACTACTCAATGATAAGTACAGATTCCCTTCAGGTCGGTTTCCTCTCTTCGTAAACGATCGTTAACGAAGGGTTCGTCGTTAACGATCGTTAACGAAGGGTTGTCGTTAACGATCGTTAAAGAAGGGTCGTCGTTAACGATCGTTAACGAAGGTTGTCGTTAACGATCGTTAACGAAGGGTCGTCGTTAACGATCGTTAAAGAAGGGTCGTCGTTAACGATCGTTAACGAAGGTCCATCGTTAACGAGAAGGGTCGTCGTTAACGATCGTTAACGAAACGACGAATTTTATAAAAACGATCATTTTGAAAAATGATCGTTTTTAAAAACGAGCGTTTTGAAAAACGATCGTTTTAAAAACGACCATTTTTAAAAAACGAACTTTTTAAAAAAACGATCATTTTTAAAAACGATCGTTTCGTTTTCGATTTTTCGTCGTCGTTTTCATAACGAAACGATCGTTTTTCTGAAAAATGAAAACGTTAACATCCCTATATACAAATGCGTTGAAAATTATTAATGATTATAAGTTGAAATATCTGAATGATTAGTTTGGAATGAAATTAAATTGGTATGAGTTGTTTTAACAATTTTCTGCTTATAGACACAACAGATAGAATTAACGATTAATAGTGCGCGATCACCATCGATAATGTTTCGCCATAAGCCTATACCCCCTTTCATTTTTCGCAAACACTCCCTTTAAACTGTTTTTTTTATTTGTGGTTTCTTTTCAAGAGTGAATTGTGCATTACTTGTTAAAAAGAAACAATGGAGACATTGAATTTAGGATAACTTAAAATTATGCTTACAGTCACAATTTAATTTGATTTATTTATATTTTGTCAAATAAAATTGATTCTAATGACAAATAAAATTCCAAATATCAAGAATGGTTCCATTAAATGTAAAAATTATTTTTATTCAATTTGTGGGAATTTATCACACCTAATATTTACCTTTTCTCGGGTGATAAAGTGACTTTTTCACCCTACAATGACATAAATAGATATAAGATTTAAACTGGAAAATAATACATGCCTTATTAGATTAGAATTTATAAAAATATTAATGGCCCTACGTTCTTGGACTGTGCTGGAATAAATTTAACCAAATGATTGGCTATATTTCAATATTTCGTTAAAAGTTAGACACTTAAAAATCAATTTTCTCCGTATCTGCCTGGCTTGTCTAATGACTGGGATTTACATCTATCTAGTTTTGAGTATATTCAATAGACTAAGGTCAACTTGAATTAAAACCGGACCAACCTCTTGTACCGACGGCAAGTACCGGTGCACGACCAAACACTATCAATCCGGCTCGGTTTCAAATTTGAAGGCGTATCCAAATTTTTTACAGTACCCGGCCTTTCAAAGGCCTATTAGGATCTACCCCATAGCTTGGTTTTCCGTGTATTATTACTATATCAGTGATTAGTTCAATGAAAACAAAGCTTTATCATAAGAGTAACGTTGAATAGAAATAAAGGATATCATTTTCACAAATTTTAATTTTGATTTTTAATTGTTTAGTTGGTTACAGTGCTATAATAACAGTAAATACTTATGCTGGAGATCCCATTGATTGTCTAACATCTCATCCTCAAGCCCCAGGTTTAGGTCAGAAAACTAACTTTGTTCTGGAGCCAGAATTTAATAGATTTAAGTTAGGTCGCTGAACTCCATACCGTCGATTCAAATACTTATCTGTAGTTATGAAGTGTAGTTTACATCTCTAGAACCTTGACACATCCTAAATCATTGATTCAATATACATAATTGAACCGTCGTTAGATCTGGTTTAAATTCATAAGATCCGGTCCCTGCCTGACTTTTAAATAATGCCTATAAATGACTTTCTTTTAATTAGAAATAATGCCAAGGCTTTAAGTTTTCTAATTGAAAGAAAGAGGAAAGATTATTGGAATATCAATGTTTATTGCTTATCACTGATTAAATTTTTGAAACTATGCTCTCAGGGCACTAACATTTTTTTTAAACTGAATTAAAATGTTTCTGTTAAAGATATTTTACTAAGTTTGACCAAACCTTCTATAGCTTTGCCATTTCAAAAGGTGTGTAGTCTAAACTCTTCTTAATGATTTGTTCTACCTAAGCGTGTAACTAAAATTATCTGATACTGTTTTTAGATTTCCTTGATTCTTTTTGCTATATTCATGGAACAGAAACACTGGCATGGAATATAGAGGGAGCAGGGCCAAAATCTAATAAGGTATGGGTAGGGAGACAGATATGGGTAGGGAGGGATAGATAATTTTCACTTTTTTGAAAAATCAAAAACGAAAATAATTAATTCTTCAGCATAGAATATCCATAAGAAAGGAATTGAGTCTTTGCAACAAACTAAAACTTTCCAATCCCTATATCTATCGAACCTGATGGTGTAAATCTTAAAGTTTTCAGACTTAGATTACAAGCTCTAGCAGAATTAATAGTTTGAAATATCAAAGGTCTACGACATTGAATGGCAAAGATATAGATGTTAGAAAATCAGAGTTTTTGGCAAAGACTCAATTCCTTTTGACTAAAATGTAGTTGCTTAAAGAAACATAAAGTAATTCTTTCATGTGGCAGAGAGAGCATATAAAAACATTAATGTGGAAGAGCATATAATTACATTTATGTTGCAGAGCATATAAAAGAAAACATTCATGTGGCAGAGCATATAAAAAATGCATGTTAAGAGTGTGGTAGAGATGGACTGTGGTAGTGAAGAAGAATGTGGCAGAAAGCACTCCTATTATCAATGGGTTGCAATTGTTATTCTATTTCAGGTAAAAATAAGTCTAACAATATTTATCGAGTGAGAACTTTAAGCAAAGAGAATAGAATATATATTAGAGTGGAATTTAGACAATCCCCCGGTATAAATTTTGCCAGTCCCTTTCAGCCTGAAAGGGAGTTCAAAGTGTACAAATCATGCATGTAAATGTTCACAAATTATATGCAGTAGAGTACATTAATACAGTATGTTACCTAGACTATCCATTTCAATTTCGAATTTTTTAAAGCTGTTAAATAAACTTTATAAAATGAATTAGGTGGATAAAAAACATCATTTGATTTACAACAAAATGGCCGTTTTGCACTTTTTTCCTATCAAATTCCACTCTAATAAATATTCTATTCTCTTTGACTTTAAGATTAGTTTGCTTTTATACTTTAACTTTAAAAGGATTGTACATGTAAGCATGATAATTTCAAGTGACCCTTCTATGTAAAAATGACAATGCCCGATTTACAACGGTACATCTTGAAAGTTTATTAAAAGCGACAATATCTTCCACATTTTTGATCTGATTAAGGTTTCAAGAGAACCGTTGTAAATCGGACATTGCCAATATTGCATGGATTGGACTGTCCACTTACATGTCCCTTTAAGTGAAATATTTAGATTTTTAGTAATAAAATGATACACATTCTGATTAATTGTAATCTCATTTATGAAGTTTTAAATAAATAAGTTTTTTTTATAAATAAAATTTAAAAGAAGTTTCCTTTTTATTTTGACTCGTAATTGATTAAAGTTACTTCCATGATAAATTTTAAAAAAATGTGAGATCTAGAAAATTCTTGGAATAGAAAGACGACATTGGAGCAATAATTAGTGTATTTTGATGTTGTTACAAAACAAATTGTTTAGAAATCAATGTGAATGGATGTCTGTTTACACAGTTGCTGTCTCTCATGTTTATTGGACTATTTTCAAATCATATCAAGTCATATAATTTCTGTAGTAATAATAAATCATTAACAAAACATTAAAAATATTTAAAACTACTGCAGCAGGAGAGCTATGATACCTTATTGCTTTTCCCAAAACTCTCCTGTAATCCAAATAAGATATAAATAGTTTTTTGAAGGTTTGAAGGAGATGGCAATAATCATACCTCGAGTCTAAAAGTCGTTTTCCTATTCCAGAGTTTCTGGTTCTCACTGGATCATCGATATTATTTCATCCACTGCATGATATGCAATTTATTGGTCGACTTTCAGCATTAAACTCACTATTTAGGCTGGTCTATTCTACCTACCCCGGTATATTTGGTATATTTAGGCTGGTCTATTCTACCTACCCCGGTATATTTGGTACGGATGGGAAGGTGGTCAAATGATGAACATGATTGGAACTCTGGCAAAACAACCCAAATTCTTTATTGATGCTGAACCAGATAACTGCGGGATAATTGAACTGGTAATATTTGAGAATCTATGTCGTCTTTCGAAAATCAATGTTGTCATATCATTTAATTTTTCTTTGATATACACAAATTTACGTACACAAGTTTAGAATTTTTAAATTAGAAAGTTTAATATTAAAAATTAATGTAAAAATTGATTTTAACTTTTGTCTCTTTCTTCTGTTGTTAATCATTTTGAATAGTTTTTAGTTTGTTTTTTCCGTCTATAATTTCTTTCTGGGGCTTAACTTGGTATATCCTAAATGATTTTAAATTGTTTATTCCAAAAAAATGTCAATACACTATGCTAAATTCCGACTCTGACAGACAATATATGCCAAAAAAAAAAAAAAAAAAATTTTTTAAACCGATAGTTTTTTTTGGTTTATTAGGAAAAAATATTGCAAAATTTATTATTAAAGCAAATTCTAAAAGCTTACAGTTTAAAATGCAGAAAGTTTTAAGTCAAATGTTTACAAACGAACCAAAACAAATAACAATACTAGGCAATTTTTTATATTTTAACACAAATATTTTAGGGAAATGTTTTAAACCTAACATCATCTGGATGTGAAAGAACAGAGGGTCTTGCTAAGTAGTGGAAATTTTGAATAAATCAAATTTATAAACATTAATTCATTTTTGTTTAGGCTGTATTTGAATGGTTTGGGTTCAAATCGATTTTACATCTGTAAATTTTCAATCATTGAGATGCTAAGCCTTATAGTTGCTTGGTTACAGGTATTGTAAGGCAGTTCCATCAAGGGATAGGTTTGATATATGGATAGATATATATATTGTTGACTAAATATTTTAATAAATAACAATTACAGGAATTGTGCACAATTTTCACATTTTAATTTAGCCAAAACCTCTCTAATCATTGCTGGTTGTTTTGATGTGAGGCCCTTTTGCAACAGTAAATACATGTTAAATTTAAACCAAACCAAATGAAAAAAAAACAATTTAGAACTAAAGGAAAGCAAGGTGAGGTGAAGGAGAAGAAAAGAAGTAGATAGATGGAAAGGTATTGAAGGACAGAGAGGAAAAGAACTAGATAGATGGAAAGGTATTAAAGGACAGAGAGGAAACTGGAAAAGAACCAGATAGATGGAGAGGTATTGAAGGACAGAGAAGAAAAGAAGTAGATGGATGGAAAGGTATTGAAGGACAGAGAAGAAAAGAAGTAGATAGATGGAAAGGTATTGAAGGACAAAGAGGAAAAGAAGTAGATAGATGGAAAGGTATTGAAGGACAGAGAGGAAAAGAAGTAGATAGATGGAAAGGTATTGAAGGACAGAGAGGAAAAAATTTTATTAAAACTGTTAGATTCTCGTTAACGAGAGTTGAATAGCGATTTAATGACAAACGATTGAACTTTCACATTTTAGAACTCATTCCCTATCATTAAATTATTATGATCATTCATGAGAAAACATTTTTTTATTCGTTAATTTGTGATTATTCCAGTCTCTTGAACATCTATTCTAACTGTGTTCGTTAGTATATGGAGCATATCCAAGGAGTATAGAATATAATGGAGAAGGGATCGACCCGGCCCGCCCTACCATATGATTTATACATGCTTTGCAGACGGTATTCCATTTGAAAAAGAGTTTTTAGGTCGTCTTTTAATTTTTTCAATGTTTTTTTTTACTTTACCATATCAAACAAAACTGATTTTTATATGGTCAAAAATACGTTTGTATTGCCAATATTTTTTTCATCCAAAAAATGTGTTATTCTATTTCTTATTCAAATTGAGTACCGTCTGCAAAGCATGTATAATTTTATATGGTATAGGGCGGGCTGGGGTATCCTTTCTTCATTATATTTCATACTCCTTGAGCATATCCCATTTGTTGATGGCAAAATTGATCGTAAACCTCTTATTACCATATCATGTTTTACTTAGATTAGAATATGCATCTTTCTTCAAGAGAACTTTACACATAACATGTCTAATCCTAAAACTATAAACAGTTTAATAATAAGTATAGGAGGGGGGCAAATAAATATGTATGTAAAGGTTAATTTTATAACAAATTTATTTAATTTGTTTATTAATATCGTTTTCATCATTATTGATATTATAATCATTGATCTTTTAATCATTATCATAATTTGTATCATTATCCATAACACCACTGTATAAATAATTAATATATACAGTTGAATTTAGTATCTGATATATAGTTGAGTTTATTATCTGATATAAAGTTGAGTTTAGTATCTAATATATAGTCGAGTTTAGTATCTGATATAGTTGAGTTTAGTATCTAATATATAGTCGAGTTTTGTATCTGATATATAGTTGAGTTTAGTATCTGATATAGTTGAGTTTAGTATCTGATATATAGTTGAGTTTAGTATCTGATATATAGTTGAGTTTAGTATCTGATATATGGTTGAGTTTAGTATCTGATATAGTTGAGTTTAGTATCTGATATATAGTTAAGTTTAGTATCTGATATCTGATGGATTTCTGGATGGAGCAATGTCTAAACATGGACTATCCTTATTCCAGGATATTCTTCAAGTAAGAATTTGATATTTGGTTTGAAAAAAACTAGAACAAATAGTTTTTAGCACTCTCTGATTCTCTAATAATATTTTTTGCAACCCTTGTACTGGTGTAGACCTTAGGTATTTCAAACTATGAATTCTGTAGATCAAATAGTCTAGGTTTAAAAGATGAAAGGTTTACATCATCAGTTTGTAAAGAGATAGAATTAGAAAATTTGAATTTTTGACAAAAAAATTAATAAATTTTCCAATATTTATTTGATATGTTTTCTATAAAACTTGTCCAAAATAATTTTGAGTCATCTTTTTTTATATTTATTATAAAGGTTGAATCTAAAAGAACTGATATGCTTGAATGGTCCCTTCCTATACGCTCAAGGTTGGTTCAAAACATTGAGGATATTCTTTATCTTTAGACGTCTCCAATGTTAATATTATTAGACTAATAATGGTTATACTATTTATACTTAAAAAAAAAAAAATTTTGGATTTTTTTTTATATGGGATACATATATGTGGAGCCGGAGGCACGCGTGTACAACTATATTTATTGTATTTTTGATAAATTTATGCTTTTGTATTTTTAATAAATTATTTTTTGTACTTTTTTTGATAACTATTTTCTGTTCTTTTTCAACAATATTTATATTTATGGAATCCAGAATTAACAGTCTGATTTTTTCAATGTTTAGTTTAGAAAGTTCTGGTTTAACTTTATTTCTTTTTAATATTGTTGTTGTTGTTATGGTTGTTGATTTTATTACATTCCTTTTTTAACAAGATTTGAATTTATTTTCAAAAATGTACTAAAATCTTTTGCGCAAGAAAACCACTAGTGCCTGATTTGTAGATGTGAGTACAGTCAGTTTGGATCAGCTGGAAACAAAATAACTGTAGATGCCCTTTGTGTACTCCCCAATAATGTACTGCACCAGGTAGTTATGTGTGTACTCCATAAAAACGTACTGCACTAGGAAAAGACATGTGGCACTTCACATATTTTTTTTTCTTTTCTGAGCATTGCATGGACAGACTTTGCCAAATGTTTTTATTTTTCCATAACATTTAATTATTAACGCATATTTTCTAAATTGAAAAAAATTATGCCCAAAAGAACTCTTATTCAAATGCATTCTTTAAAATTTTGTAACTAATTATTTAGAAATTTTTTGTTTTCTGGGGAATTTGGTTGGTTGGAGTCATACTGTACACTTCGATACACATGCTGGGGAGAGCTCTGCTCTTCTTTATACCAGCTTTCCGTCTCTTCGTAGCGACATCTCTCTGGGCAGGTACACACGGCGAACTAGGGTCAATTTAAATTCAAACAGGACAGACTTCTTGTACCGGCCTTGTATAGTGACGAGCGACAGGTACTGGCCAGCCCCGGTTTCAACTTTGATGGCACGTCCAGACTTTTTACAGTACCCGGCTTATCATAGGCTTATATTTAAGCTACCCCACTTACTTAGTTTAGTGTGACAGGGTTACCCAACACAGAATGAGACTGTAAAGACCACATAAAACTTTTAAAATATGACAATTGCAAGGTTAAATTAAGTTTTTCTGTTTCAATAATAGTCTTTTTATGGCTTATTTCATGATTTAACAAAGAAAAAAACAAGTTTACGGTTAATGGAAATGATAAATTTAATGAAAAAGACAGTATAAATTTTTTACAGTCGTCTGTTAAGTTTTATCCATTGAGGGCAACCCTGTTTATAAACAAACTAAAATTGTCAGGACATAGTTTATTCATTTCATAGTTTATTCATTTCATAGTGTATTCATTTCATAGTTTATTCATTTCATAGTTTATTCCCTAATGTGTTTAACCCTGCACAAGCTCTAGTTTTGTTTGACCTAGCACTCTCATTATGGAAGCTTTTATCATTATCAACTTAAAATTTTTTTGACTTTTAAGAAATATTAATGCAAAGGATTGTTAGCAGTTTTTTCTTCTTTCTATTGCATAGGATTGGGTACAGCACGGCAAAAGGACAGTCCTAGGGTTTCCATTCGCAAAACTTTTGCGCAATTTTTTGCGGAACGAAACGCAAAATTTTTCTTTCTTTGCACATCAGTTTTGCGCGAAAAAAAACAATTTGCGCAATCATTCGCAAAAGTCATTTCGCGAAAAATTGCCCTATTCCGCTTTTGCGAAACTCAAGTTTTGCGCAATTCCGCAACTAGAGTTTTGCGCAATTTTGTAAAAATCAAACGGTTGGTGAGGGTGTGTGTTTCTTAGAATTCAATTCTGGAAAAATCTTGTTTTGGAATGTCTTCCTATTGGTCACTTTTACATAATTGACCAATGACAGTTAAGAAGAGTTCAATTCTCACAATTTTCTCGACAATTTTAGTTTTGGACATGCATATTTCCTAAAAGTGGATTCTTCAGGCATTGGTTACTCTCTTGCAGTATTTTATATGAGATTAAAAAGATTTCAGAAATTTGATTTAAAAAATTTAATAATATAAGTCATACTTGATTAGGCAAAGCTTTTAAGGGTCGCTCGAAATTATTTAATAGGATTAAAAGTTTCACACTCTAATTTCTATTTTATTAATTTTGTTCCCTTAATTTAAACTTTTTGTAACTGGAAGTAACCAATTGAGTGTAGTATAATCGTTATCATACTCATATTTTTTTTATGTATGGGATAAATCTTTAGTTGTTTAATTCTAAGCTTAGAATATCAAGTTTTGACAATTTGCCTAAAAAGTTACATTTTGCGTAAAACTTGCGGTTTTGCGCAAATTGCGCAAAACTAAAATTTCGTTACATGCGCAACTTTCGCAAAAAATATTTCCGGTTTTGCGCAAATTGCGCAAAAAAAATAGCGCAAAACCGCGCAAAACTCATTGCGTTTCATGTGCAAAAATAGCGCAAAAGTTCGCAAAAAAAAAAATTTGCGCGAAAATAGCGCAAATTTTGCGCAAAAGATTTACCTATTTCGTGGAAACCCTAGACGGTCTGTGTGTGATTTTTTTTAAACAGCCCAGAACTTATTTGTTATTGCTGAAAATCTCTTGAAAAATTGATGTACTTATATCTAATAGGGTTTCCCAGTTAGTTATTTTTTCCATAACTTTTTGCATTATGCATGATCACTTTTTTATAATTACAGACTTGATTCACATTCTTTTATCTTAGCACCTGCTACAGCATGCATTAGTTAAAAATAGTCCAACCCGGATAGGGTTTAGGAAAACATCTCCCAAACCGTGTATTTTTTTAATAGTGATGGTTTTTTAGTAAACATGAGAAGATGGGTTCCTTCTTTTTTTTACTTCTATTTTTTTATCAAAATATTTTTTATATTTTTCTTCTTTTCATTTTGACATTTAATGAAAATAATTTTTCCATGAATTAATTTTCTTCTACAAAATAATAAATTTGTTTCTAGAATCTGAAAACAAAACTGGAAGCCAGAAAGTCTTAAAATATATCTTTCAAAATATCAGGTAAAAGAAACAATAAACACAATAAAATAATGTAAAAAAATTTCTTTTAGGTCTCTAAATGAATTGAAAGTGATTATTTTTTTGAGAATTTGAAATAGAAATATCCTGAATTTATTTTTATGTATACTTAATTCTCATTAGTTTTTTAAATTACTAACCAACAATGTAACTAATGATACATACAAATATATATACACTGAGAACCAGAAAACACTAGAACATGAAAACAACATGATATCAATACTTCATGATATGGTGTTTGATTTAGTTACAAAGCAAACAGTTTTACTATGCACTATCACTAATCAATTCAAATATGGGTCAGTTTGCACTGCCTAATTGCTGTGTCTCATGCCCATTGAACGATTTAAAGTAATAACTTGAGTCTAAAAGTTGTCTTCCTAATTCAAAGCTTTATTACTGTATTAATATTCAAGTTACTCTGACTGGCAAATCTTGACTTTTATACATGGAAATCTGGCGACCTATAATTTTATGCTTTTCCTGGAGGATCTATCATATCATTACTATCAGGTTGGATTTGCGAATATTATAACGACAAATTATTAAAAAAGGCATTTGATTTTTTTTTGTGAGGGGGGGGGGGTTTAAATCTTTTAAACATTTTTCTGTGCAGGAAAATGCGCAAGAACGGGTTTTCCTGAAAGCTCTAGGATTGGTTCAACACAAAACCCCCAACGAGAAGAGTGTTGAAAAAGCTGAGTATTTGCAGGAATCCGAAAATCCTGAATACTTTATTTGATAATTCTTGTAAAAGTGATCAAAAAATAAATACATAAAATTCATATCTACATACATCATAAAATACAACATTTTGAGAATTCAATTGACTCATATTCCACTACAGTTTTCGTAAAATGCAAAATTTTCATTTTTTGTGAAATTTCACTTTGTTTTCGCATTTTGCGCTCCATTTATTTTCGCCAAAAAATACGAAATTTTGCGAAAAAGTTTACAAAAGACGAACAAATATTTTCGCATATTTTTGCGAAAGGTTTTGTTTGCTGGAAACTCTACCATTGCAGCCTGTGGTGCCACAGAAGGCCTAACCTAACCTTTGGGAAGTTGCCACTTGGGAAATTGCACATTTGGGAAATTGCACATTTGGGAAATTGCACATTTGGGAAATTGCACATTTGGGAATTGCCACTTGGGAAAATACTTAACACCATTTTTCCACAGCAGGCAAATTCATGAAACCAAGCATATCTAAATTCACAATCAACATTCACAACCCTAACAAAGATGATTACTTTTGCTTCAAAACTATTGATTTGTCAATAGCATAAAACAAAAACTTTATTAGTTTGAACTATGCGGTTGTTCTATCAAACGAAGGTTTGTTAATTTTTAAAGATCCAAAACGACACAAACTCGACTCATGTCAAAAATGATGCCTATTCCTAGCAGAAAGATAGGCTTAGCTGGGTTCCTAAATAAGACAAAAAGGGTATCATCTTTACTTTCAATTAGGTATAACAATATATTTAAGTTGTAACTTTCCATTTATAAGTTTTGATTGGTCTTTTGGTAATTTTGTTAATATTAATATTCTGGAGAAGATCTAATATAAAAAGTTATGATTTTTCTTCTTAAATCTACATGTGTAGATATATATTATTATTGATAAAAAAACCAATATTAATATTACAATTTTCTTTCCATCAAAAAGCAAATTTTTCTTTACAAAGTCGCTTGTGGTTTTGCTCAAAATGTTTCATACAAATAAACAAGGTTCTGTTCAGGAAGGGCAAAGAATTTTTCTGGGATTAAATATAGTTCCTGCTTCAGTATGCACGAATTGAACTTGATTTTTGCTAAATTCGTGTTAGAATTTTTGCAGAATGTTCATCATATCTGCTTGCAGGCTGATTTCTTGGCATGTCTACTGTCTATTATTGGGCAATTTATTGTTTATTTTGAGTTCAGCATACACAAAGATTAATAATACATGCCTTAATTAATTTCTTTAACAGTTTGTGCGCAATCTTTTTGCGAGCAATTTAATATGAAGTTGCCATAATTGCAAGAACACCCTTTAGCACAATTTGCATTCAATTGCCCACAAAAATTTTGATACACAAGGAAGCTTAAAGAATTAGGCAAATTTGGACTCAACATTTTTGCAGATTTTTTTTTAATTTAGCTGAAAACTTTATATCTAAAACCTGTAATTTAAAATTAGTGATTACTCTTTCCCTTAATTGAGCAGAATTTCATCTGGAATGTATTGGTAATTTAAATCTTCCAATTCTGGTACATTCTTTAAATCACCTCTTAATTGTTAAATAGAATGTCCCATCTATATCTCAAAACAAAACTCTTTAGCTTTTAACTTTAGTTCCCAGGATATTAATTATTGACTTTTGATTTCATCAGTAACTCTAACATTAATACCTAGAATTGCCATCCTAGAGAGTTTTTCAAGAAAAAATATATGAAAAAAATGAACATTTTAATCTTGTTAAACATTAGTTTTTCTTTTGAATTGTGCATGCTGTTCATTTCACAAAAAGAATAAAAGAATATTAAGTATTTATAATTTTAGTTATCAAAAATATAAACAAAAAATGGGTTTAATTACAAACTGGAGAGGGCAGAACGGTCACATTTAACAGTATGGTTTTTTGATAATTTGTCTCTGATGTTTTAATATTAATTTCAATAGAGAAAAAAATATTAATATACAAATATTAATAATTATGAAACAAATTACCTAAAAAAAATGTTATCTTGTTGAACATTAGTTTTCTTTTTGCATGCTGTTTATTCTACAAAAAAAGAAAAAAATATTGATTTTTAATAATTTCAAATTACTAAAAATAAAAACAAAAGTTTTAAAACTACAAAATGTTCAAGATTATGAAAAATTGGGTTATTTTATAAAATTTTGAGAGGGCTGACTGGCCGCCTTTAGGCATAAGGTTTTCTGATAATTTTTCACTGATGCTTTCATATCAATATAAACAGTCAAAACAATATTAATATGAAAATATCAATAATCATGATTCTAGAATAAGTCTCACTAATACTTTTTCTCTTAAATTCGTACTTTTACCGAAATACTAAATAAAAAGCAAATACATAATTAATCCATGTAAAGTATTTTTTTTACCATTTCTGATAGAATTTGAATCCAAGTACTCACTTTATAAAAGCAAAAGTTAAAAGCAATTGATCTATGGTTCTTAATTGTGTATGCCTATACATCTACCAGAAAGAAAAAGGTTAGCAATTGATGCAAATATTTTAAGCATTCTAGAACTATTCTCATTACAAAGTGCAATATTACAACTGACTTATAAGGAAAGTTTTAATTTCTTCCCTCTTCATGGAATAAATATTTTGTCAATTTTAAGATTAAGTTTGTTTAATTATCCTTGGTATGAGGTCCAACAATTAAAAGACAGATTTTAAGTTTTAATTTTTTAAAAGATTTTTTATAAAAAGTGTAAACTTTAAAAAGCCTTGTTAAATTTTTCTTGAGATCTTAAACTCCTATCTTGAAATATTAAACAAACTTAGCCATTACTTTACATTTACTTCTTACTTCCACATTCTACCAACATTTTTTTTAATGATTTAGTTGGGGAACATTTTAATATTCCAAATAGGGAAAGTACAATTTTTACGTTAAGTAATTATTAACATAATTTATGATGCCAATTCTTACATTTATTTTGTAATAATCAATTATGTACAAAATTTTATGAAAGCTGACAATTCTTTTGATGTTACAAAATTTGTACAATCTTAAACTCCAGCCAAGTTAAGATTCTAGTATCCTACAGTTCTTCTTAAAATCAAAAGAGGTTGCCCAAGAACGACATTACATCCTCATCTGAGACAACTAATGCAACCGGTAAAATAAAGGCATTCAGTTTTACATCTGTGCCGGCAGCAATTCTTTTTAAAGAGGAAGCTGGGGAATTGATGGCACAGATAAGAACAAGCACTAGTTCAACCAACACAAATAATGTGAGGATACTAGATGATCTCAGTAATAAATCTTTCAGGACATCAGACACTTTTTTTCCCTTTCTATTATTACTGGTCAAGCTCGCTTCAGGTTGACATATAGTTTTGATGGGATTCTTTTTCAAAAGATCTTTGGTAACACTTAATTCTTTCTTTTTCCCAACAGGTTGTAGAGAAAACCTTCTTTGTTGACAATTCTTAGGCTTCCCTTCTAATGATTTATACCTCTGAAGTTTAACCCTGTTGTTAGTCTTTAAAATAGGAGGCATCTTTTTCATGGAAACATTTATTGGGTTTACTTTCCTCCTCTTTTTCTGTTTTTTATACTCTTTTAGACCTACATACAGATACTTTGATATATCTAGCAGTAGGAATAAAGTCAGTAGTACCAATCGGGTTGGTGGGTAACAAAAGAAACCTTCCTCTACTCTGTTCATCAAGTTGACATTCAGTTTTCCCTCTGCGGTAAGGTTCTGGTTTTTCGTATCAAGTTTACAGTTGCTAGAGCCTACAGTAATATTAGGTTCTTTTTCAGTTGTCTTGTTCATGTCTAATATTCCTTGGAGTCTAGTTTCAGTTTCAACAATCTCCATTCCTGTAGAGTTCCAGTTCCTACATGTTGACCAATAGGAAGAATCAAGTGTGGTGATACTCAGTGATATTAAACCAGCTATCACACCTCCAGTAATGGGAGGTATGTAATGGAACATTACTGGCTTTACATACAGCAGTAATCTTCCACTGACCTTTACAGTTAAAAGAGATGTCAATATGTTTGCATAACATCTGCTGGACAGAAATATTGTTGCAAGAGTGGGATATGTCTCCGCAAATTCAATAAGATTGTTTGCCCAGAAGTTGACCGCCATGGACAGCAGGAAGCATCTTGCAGTGTTTAAAAGAAAGCAAATCATTATTAAAGTTAGAACTCGATTTATGAAGTTCTTTTTCCCCTGAGGCCTAGATGTTAGGAAGATCAGTAGAAAAGATGAGCTCAAAATTGACATGGCGAATCCGGAGCTATCAATGATGAAGTTGTAGGGATTTGATTCTGGTTGAATTACCACTATTGCACAGGCATACACCAAGACAAAGATGACTCTGATAGAAATTTTCATGTTTACTTGTTGGTGTGTGGTTCAATCAAATAAACAGTTATGACTAAATTCTGAAGAAACAATCAATTTTTGAGAGAAATTACGTTTTAACACCTTTCTCTTATTCTCTTTTTGTTGTGGATATGATTGTTGCCATGACTAAAACCAAAAATAGAGTAAAGTTGTTGTTACTCCTGCCGACTTGGGAGCACAGTGATGCAAGTGGAAAAAAAAACTATTAAAGTTGAACAGAGTTAACATACTACGCATTGGTTTTCTTGAATAGATATCTAGTTTAAGGCAGAACCATAAAACTGATCACTTACACGATCCAGGATGTTTAAAAACAACAACTTTTTTTTCTTTTTATGGAAAATACAAATGTAAAAATAGTTTTTTTATATTGTATCTGTAAATTTTGAAATGTTAGAAATTGGATATTTTTTGTTTTAATGTTTTTTTTACAAATTACAATTTTAAAGTAACTTTAGTAATTGAGACATGTTTTTAATGCAGAGAATCATTGGCTTTATTTAACTGAGTTGCATTATTTCCCCTGGAAAAGCAAATATGCAGTTTAAACAAAGTTGATAATGCAACATGTATATCTTATTCTGGATGGATGAGAAGGAAAGCTCAGTTAACCAGAGAATGAGAAGGACAACTCTTCAAAAAACGGAAAAGGAATACTTCTTAAACCCCTGCTGAGAAGAGCAAACAATTAAAGGTCCAACATAAAAATAAAGATGAT